AAGATTTGCAAAGTGCCTACAACTACTGTACAAATTAGTATAGTACAAGAGATTTTTAAAGTTAGAAAGTGCACATATATTTTTGAAGAAATTAGTTCTAGAAGAAGACCTACAAAAATACACCAGATACTTCAACATTCAATTGACAATAAGATTTTTAAAATTATAAATGTGTACCTTAAGAGATATTATCTTTAAGCTTATATATCTTGTTGTGGTATGGTTTTGAACTTAGATCATCATTCAAAATTTCAACCCAAACCAAAACTCTTAACAAATAAATAGATAATAATAATAATAATTGTAATTCAAAAATTCAACCCAAACCAAAACTCTTAACAAATAAATAGATAATAATAATAATAATTGTAATTCAAAAATTCAACCCAAACAAATAAATAGATAATAATAATAATAATTGTAATAATATCTAACTATATATTGTGTACCAAATAATAATATTGCACCAATAAAAATAATGTGTTATAAATAGATAGTTAGAAAAAAAAGTGAATCACAATATTAAAATATGCCAAATATAAAAACCAAATAATACGAAGTTAAACCGATGCACAAACATCTCGACTAAAAAATTTCCCAACACATAGTAAACACTAAAAATAATGTACACTAAACAGATGCACAAACTCAAAAAAATAGTTCACCTTTAACTGTAAAAAATACCTTTTCACAAATAATAACATGAAATTAAACAACACAAATAAAAAAATATAATAAATATAGATTAAAAACATTCAATTTGAAATATTAAATAACTTATATTTTTAAGAGTGGTAACATCTCCAAACTATAAATGTTCATGGCTTCACTGTAATGAAGAAGAAAATAAATAAATTTAAACTAAAACACAAACAACACATAAAACTTATGAAGAAAACGTACTTAACTAAGAGCTAATTTTTTTTTCTCACAAGACTTATTTATAAATGAAATTTACCCTCAGGAACATACTATAGTCGAATAATATTTTCATCTTTAGAATCATGATCAATCCACTAATTCATAGTGGTTGTGTGATGCCCCATATTCTATTTGGAAATCTAGAGTAGAGTAGAATTTATCAACTTTTCATTTTGCAATTCCATTATTAATCCTTCCTTTATTATCTCAAGGATGCAATGCTATCGGTACTTATTAAGGGGAAATTATATTGTTATATATGCGGCTCAGTTGCTTATTTAATCAAATCACCTTTTGACGTGAATAATAACATTTGTGATGAAGTTTGACTGTCTTGACTCAGTTTATTTAATTAAATCACCTTTTGACGCAAATAACAACATTTGTGATGAAGTTACCCGGTTACTAAGCAAAAAGATTGTCCTGGATCATTTGTGTATTTAATCAAATCACTTTTTGACGCGAATAACATTTATGATGAAGTTACCCGGTTACTAAGCAAAAAGAACGTAATTAACAACATTTTATGATGAAGTTATTCCGCTACATAAATTAGCAATGAGTCGAAATTTTATTATTTTTTTCCCTGCTTTAATATTTAATTTTGCTTTTACACCCTTTTGATACTAAATTTCAAATTAATTTGGTTTTAAAATGCAAAGTCTCAATACTCTTCAAAGTACCTAGATTACTCCTTAAAATATAAGGGAGTGGATATTTCAATTAACTAAAGATTAAACATATTCCAACATAATATGTATGGGTTGACAAATCTCAAAATATGCCGAACGATGAAAATGAATGTAGAATTTTCTCTCCTATTATTGCCATTGAAAAATATTTAAAAAATATATTTAATTGATCAAACTTTGAAAATAGAAATTTATTATCTCGACAAATGAGAGGGGAATGTGAAATAAGTGATTTTTATATGAATGTTTTTGTTCTTATTTTCTTTTTCATGAAGGTATAGAGAGTCTTCCATAATGGTTGAAAGCTTTGGTTTCAATTTGGATTTGTGGTGGTAAGGGGTGTGCAAAATAATCAATAACCATACACCAAATACCGATTTTAAAATTCTATATTATTTGGTTTAAAAACTAGTCCAATTTCATTTTACTAAAATCATTAAAAAACTGTGTCCACTTTTTAAAATCATAGTTAATCTACTTTTCAAACTCTTTGTCTTATTTTTGTTTCATCGTCATAAATGACAATTAGGATAATGTATATGTAATAAATAAAACTTATATATATATATATTTTTTAAAGAAAATTTTGTGTTCTCATAGTCTCATAATAATGTATTTAGTCTTTCATCTCACAATTTAAATGCTTGTTATTAGATTGAAATTATATGATTACTGAGTTATTTTTGTATGCTTCTTACTTTGAATTAATTCAATTATTAAACTAATATATTTTTTCTTAGAAATCTTTTTCACTAAAGTGACGACGGGTGGAGTCAGAAAAATGATAAGTGTAAAATAATATATAATGAACATTTTTTTGAAAAGGTGAAAAAAAAAAGATTTTTATATAAATGAGAGAAAATCATATGTATGTGAGAGAGATTGAGTATTTTGTAATTACTCTTTTTTTTCACCTTTTCAAAAAAATGCTCATTATATATTATTTTACACTTATCATTTTTCTGACTCCACCCGTCGTCACTTTTAGTGAAAAAAATTTCTAAGAAAAAATATATTAGTTTAATAATTGAATTAATTCAAAGTAAGAAGCATACAAAAATAACTTAATAATCATATAATTTCAATCTAATAACAAGCATTTAAATTGTGAGATGAAAGACTAAATGCATTATTATGAGAACACAAAATTTTCTAAGTTTTATTTATTACATATACATTATCCTAATTGTCATTTATGACGATGAAACAAAAATAAGACAAAGAGTTTGAAAAGTAGATTAACTATGGTTTTAAAAAGTGGACACCGTTTTTTAATGATTTTAGTAAAAAACGGTGTCCACTTTTTAAAACCATAGTTAATCTACTTTTCAAACTCTTTGTCTTATTTTTGTTTGATCGTCATAAATGACAATTAGGATAATGTATATGTAATAAATAAAATTTATATATATATATATATTTTTGAAAGAAAATTTTGTGTTCTCATAGTCTCATAATAATGCATTTAGTCTTTCATCTCACAATTTAAATGCTTGTTATTAGATTGAAATTATATGATTACTAAGTTATTTTTGTATGCTTCTTACTTTGAATTAATTCAATTATTAAACTAATATATTTTTTCTTAGAAATCTTTTTCACTAAAGTGACGACGGATGGAGTCAGAAAAATGATAAGTGTAAAATAATATATAATGAGCATTTTTTTGAAAAGGTGAAAAAAAAGAGATTTTTATATAAATGAGAGAAAATCATATGTATGTGAGAGAGATTGAGTATTTTGTAATTACTCAATTTTGATTTTTCTGATTGAATTTTTTTTTTACGGTTCCTTAACATTTTTTTTCATAATTATTATGGATTATTTAAATTCAATTTAATTTATTGTCAATGAATGGTTTTTTTTATATTGTCAATTTAATTTATTTAAAGAAAATAAAAAACTGATTTTGAGAGAAACCGGTTTAAAATTGATTTTTAAAAAAATTGTTTTTTTTTTAAAACCGGTTTGAAACTGAACCAATCCACTTGTAAATCGGTTTTAAAAAAATAAACTAATTTTATATAAACAGTTTTAAGATCTAAACCAAACCATATATGTGGTTTGGTTTATAATCCATGCATACCCTAACTCCTATTATCCTATTATGTGCAACATTATTTTGTGCCAAAAGTGCGTGAGGGTTATAAATAATATGGTGCATCATGTTAACTCATCTCTTCGGAAGAAAGATTAAATTTCTCCAAAGCATGAGAAGGGGGTTCTTTTTTATATGAAAAAAGAGCAAAAATGATTTATTAGCATAAGAGAATTGCCTTCATTTTCATAACAACAAAATGATGATCTACCTTCACAACCAATCTTCTAGTGATTTTGGAAACATAAGATTTAAGGGGTAGAGTTGAGGAGTCCTTAACCTTTAATAGATTTGAGTGTTCTAATACATGATTTTGATTTTGTTGTTATAATTGTTGTTGTATGCTGAATTTGGTAAGAATTTCATGTACCATTATATGTGCATAAATTATGTTTCAAAGTTGTTGATGAAAGTATACAATGGTTGATGGTTGATGGTTTATGCATAATCTTGATATGAAGAACTGTCATGTTGATTGTGTTAAATGGGTGGATTAACATGTAGTAATTGATGTATGAACTATTTGGTGTTACCCAAATGTAGCATTCGATTAATCCATGCTCTAACAAATCTTTGTCTATGTGGTGTCAACTATATGTCCTTCACATAATCAATAAATTCATTACAATCAACACATGTGGTGTCAACTATATGTCCTTCACATAATCAATAAATTCATTACAATCAACACACGCCTGCTCAAGTTGGTTCAACCTTTGATCATATGTCGCAACCACAACTAATCGGTATGTATTTAGCTTGTCCAGAATATGTCGCAAGTCATCCACCTTCAGGACACCTTGCCTATAGGACCATCTCATCGCTCGAGTGAGACCCACATTATTAGCTGGAATCCAATTCTTTTTTTTAGTGTTGAAAAATACTCATGAATCCAGCAATGTTACAAAATTAATACTATTACTAAATTTAAAATAATTAATTATAACATAATAAACTAGATAAATAAAATTAATATACTAAATAAAATTAATTAAAATAAAATATATTAAATTAAAATAAATACCTGTAGGAGAGTCAAATAACCACCGAGCTGCTTACAATTGAACATGGAAGCATCTCCGAGATATCTATAGAGCGTAACCAATGCAGCTGCTCCCCAACTATATCTTGATAACCCTTTCAAGTCTATAAATAATGATAGGTATCGTGCCTCGACAAGCGTAAACATCTTGTCCGCAAAAATAGTGGAACCCACTAGCTTCAATAAATAAGCTCTAGTCGCATAATCCCATCTAGAAGTAACTTTATGCTCTACAAATCGATCATAATCACTCCAACTTATAATAAGAACCCTTGCAGTCACGGACTTGTTGCTGTGACACTCCTAAGTAATCAACAACCCGTCCTTCATTGATATCTTGAGGACTCCAGAAGACTTCCCTGATGGGCAAGTGAAGCAGGCAAGAGACGTCATCTAGAGTAATCGTCATCTCACCAAACGGCATGTGAAATGAAGATGTCTCTAGATGCCATCTCTCTGCAAATGCGGAAACCAGGTCCGTGTCTATCTTTGTTAAACTGGTAGTGAAACCCTCTGAACCAACTTCAACCCATGTCCGGCTACCTTTAACTCTCTCCTGAAAACAATTAAAAGTAAATATATTATAAAATTTAACATTAAAAATTCAAATTTTATTCAATATTAAATAATTTTCGTTTACTTACCTCACCGAACCATATATGTCTAACAATATGATGTTCGTACTTAACTAAAAGAGAGGTATCGTACGGTCCTCCTGGATATCCAACAGGCTCGGTTGTTGATGCAGATGCATCAATATGCTCTTCTTCAACCATTCTCGATGATTCGCCCCATCCTAGTCCGCGAAAAGGGATCCTACCGTCTCTGCCTCGTGTGCGCACCACTGCTAAAATAAAAACATAAAAGAAAAATTAAAAATTAAAAAAAAAATGAACCGGAAGACTTGCAAAAAGACTTCCGGTGAATTTAAAAAACTCATAATATCGGAAGACATACTTAAAGTCTTCTGGTAAACAAACGAAAAAAACAAAAATCGGAAGTCTTCATCAATGACTTCCGAAAAACTTACAACACCGGATGACTTACTCTAAGAGTTCCGGTATATGTTTTCTGAACCGGAATACTTCTGAATTCCGGTTTGTAGATGAAAAATGGTAGTTTCGGAAGTCTTCAAATGAAATGGAAAAATATAATTTCTAAAATTATAACTATTTATACGAGGGTATTTTGGTCCGAAAATTTTTAGTGTAAGGATATGAGATAAAATTTTCTATAACTTATTATATTTTTTAATATCTTTCTCCCTAAATGTCTCAACAACATTAACCAATTATATGTGAAAATTTCACATTTTATTTAAATTTCAAGTTTTTAGAATACATTCGTTGTGTCTTTTTCATATCTTTCCCCTATTTTTTTTAAAATTATAATAATCTTTTTTTAAGGAATAAAAATATTATTTATTGATATTTTTTTCTCTCTCCTCCCTATTATTTAGTAGTATGTTATCAATGATATATTTTAAATCTTTTTGTTCTACTTTCTCTCTTTTATTTAATCTTTTTATTTATCTCAATTAATCTATTTTTTCTTACAATTTACGTTATTATTAAGCTTTAAAAAAAATACCTTTCTTTTCTCCCTACAATTTAGCAATTTATTATTACCGATACCATTTGAATTTAATGCTATTTGTAGTCATTTCAGGCATTTATAGTTTCTCTCTTTTCTTTGATTATTTTTTTTAAACAATTAACTTATTTTTAAGGAACAAATATTTAAATATTTTATTAATTTTTTAATATTTTATTTATTTTCATAACTTTTATCTTTCCATTCTTCCAATAGTTTAGCTATCTATCATTAGGTATTTTAATTTATTTTAAATACTTTATCTATTATTTTATATCTAAAATAATACTATAAATCATTTAAGTTATCATTTTTAAAAAATGTAATATAATTATATAAAACTTAAGGGACCAATTATTAAGTTTGTTAATGTATCAACTTTTCTTTCATATATTATTATTCTCTAAATTTTTTATATTCAAATCCAAAATCATAAACAACTTCTTTGTTACTTTAGTTTTCAAAACTATCACATTGTTTAGAGTAAACTACTTTTTAAAATATGTTATAAACATAAAAATGTTGATTACCACTTATAATACTTTTGCATTTTTTTGACATAGCTTTAATATTATGACGCATCATATATTTTAAGGATTTTATAGACAATTTACACAATTTTTATTTTAAAAAATTATTTTATAATATCAATCACATGAGCATGCACAAAACTTTTAAAACTAGTCACCACTTTACTTTTGATCTTAATAATAATATTGGTTTATTAAATAGTATATAATTTTTTTCTAAATTATAAATAATTAAAAAATAATTAATTAGTGAAAAGAGATATCGGATGCAATATAAATTTTTCTCTTTTATAAATAATATTATGAATAATTATAATAGATTAACTAAGTAATTTTTTCCGGACTTCAAAAAGTTATTAAAGCATACAATTTAGAGAAATATATTAATTACTAATAAATTAGTTATATTTTAAATTATTATTGATTTAAACATAAGAATAATTCTAATATATTAATTACTGTTTTTTCACACTTTTATTTTTTATGTTATTTTTTGAAAAATAAGTAACTAAAGAAGTAGCTAGAATGCATAATTCATATATGTGATAAATATTGATTATTACTCAATTAGATAACCAGTGTCCTCATGACACTTTTTAAAACTTTAAATAGTAAGTTTTTATAAAAGTATGTGCAATAATGTGTAATAATGTGCATTGAAAATTGAAGTGTTTGAATTTTTTAAAGAATAATTTCTTAATATGGAATGTTTAAATAGTGCCCTGAGGGCACTTGTTAGCAAGACCCATTCTTTATATATTCTAAACATTATAATATGTTAATACGAGTTTATTATAAAAATCATAAATGAAACATATATTTGTAAAAAAAAAGACTTCAAATTATAAGTACTTTTTAATACTTGCAAATGAGAACTACTTTAAAAAAAAGTGAATAAGAATGAACTCAATTAAAAATATTCAAACAACTAATAGGAAGCGAATGGACCCAATTAAAATCGGGAGAGGACAACCTAAGATTAGCTAACTTGTCAGTCACGACATCACCCTCTCTGAAGGAATGAGAGATAGTGAAATTCATGCTCTTAATACGCACGAAACAATTGGTACACATATTTCTTAGCATCCAAGGAACAAGGGAATATGAGTTATACGCAAGGATGACTAACTTAAAATCGCTTTCCACCCACAAGTTACACTAACCTTTATCATGAGTACACTCAATGGCATACATGACAACAATGAGCCGAGAATAGTAAGTTGTATCGATTCCCAAGTTGACAGTAAATCCACCAAAGAACCTGCCGAAATTGTCTCTAAGAACACTAACACACGTAGACAAACCTAGACAACCAATAGCTGCACAAACCGTATTGCACTTAACCTAAGAACCAATACGAGGTTTCTAAATTATCTCCTTAAGACGAGTAACTTTAGGAGGATAAATTTGATATGGAAAGCTTTGAGCATAACAAAATCACGAATAGAAGGACTAGACACAAGGGAGGTATGATTCTAAGAGATAACCGAGTTTGCCAAAATAAAGTTCTTAGCCACGTTCAGACTAGGTAATATGTTGTTGAAGCGATATTGATTCCTGTAATACCAAGTAACATTAATGATGTTGATTATGGTAGCATTGATGACAAGAAGACATTGAGGGATCCAAGAAGGATCAATGCATGGCCACAACTCAGTTGGGTGAAGAGGGAGGAAAGCCACATTAATGAGGCTAGAGAACTAGATCCAAATGGCAATCACAAAATGACACTTGAAAAAAGTATGTAAATTAGAGTCTTCGTGTAACTTGCAAATACTGCACATACAAGGAAGATTTCAACCTCTAAGCTTAAGGTTATCATCATAAGACAGTCTGTTATGCATGAGCCTCCAAACAAGGAGGGACCTAGAAGGAGGAAAAAAATAACTCCAAATTTTCATGGAGCAAGGCACTTAAGGATTAAAAGGTCTCAAATGCAGGTAAACATCCTTCAGAGTAAGAGAACTAGAGGGAGAGTGACTCCAAATCAGCTCATCCTCCTATTGATCAAGAGGAATATGATAATTATTGACTGCAATAATGATTTGAGGGAAATCTTCAAGCATCTTAGTAAAAAAATTCCAGCAACCATTGATTATAAAAAAGCGTAAAGATAAACACCCAATGACAAGAAACAGTCTAGTGCTAGAATTGACTCTAAAAGGGAACCAGGTCCCCAACAGAGTCGCCACCTGCCGCAACTGGGAAAAATAATCGGCGGAAAAACAAAGTTGCCATCGAACGTTATTTATCCCGACGGGAAAAGTAAACGATCGAAAAAACCTTAAAAAGGGACAATTCATACACTGCCCCTAACTTGCTCTCATATCTTGTTGAACTTTGTTCATTATTTTGCTTTATTCTAAATATTTTGTTTAAAATTTGTGAAACCAATTTTACAAACCCCCAATTGACTTTTGTTTAGTTAAATTTAAATTAAGCTTATATTGACTAACGCAGTCCTCGAGATCGATACTAGGGATAATCCCCCTATTTTAACTATAATCGGCAAAATAATACACTTGTTATTTTACCGATCAAGTTTTTGGCGCCGTTGTCGGGGTCTGCTAAATATAAACTAAATTTTTATTTAATTGAAATTTTGTTGCTCTGCGACTAAAATTTTATTTTTTGTTTATTTTTAGATTAATTTGTATTATCACTAATAATTGTCTAATATGGGAAAACCCTCAACTGAGTTTTTTTTTGACACAGAATCCAAAAGATTACTGCATGCAAGACGTCGTCAAGCGAAACTAGTCAGACTGGTAACGTCAGAGGAAGAAATTTTGGTTCACTCTGAGCATTCTGATTCAAAGACAAACACAGAGACAGAGACACAACCAGAAGGAGTGATAATGGTTGGACTTCCACCAGTGAGAAGACTTCTAGGTGACTATGGAGGAGCAAATGCTCCAGTAGGTCGGTTGACCATTGTGAATCAATTGGTTAATGTCGCAAACTTCCATCTGCACTCGACAATAAATTGTCATCTCGAAAAGAGACCTTTTACGAGAAAAACCAACGAAGATGCAAATAAGCATTTACAGAGATTTCTTACAATGAGCACAACACTGAAAATTGAGGGGCATTCGGAAGAAGCTAAAAAGTTGCAGATGTTTCCATTCACTCTCGCCGAAGATGCAGAAGAGTGGTTTTATTCTTTACCTGCAGGTAGTATTACTACTTGGGAGGAGATGGAGACAACTTTTTTGAATGAGTATTTTCCAGCTTATGTTTATATTCGCAAAAGATACGACATTGTGAATTTTAAACAGAAGGACATGGAGTCACTCGGTTATGGATACAAAAGGTTTAAGAGGTTATTGGTTGCTTGTCCTACACATAACATGGATCAAACTAAACAAATGCAGATGTTTGTAAATGGCCTCAGAATGAAGACAAAACAACTTATTGATACAGTTGCTGGTGGCTTTTCCAACTTTACAACAACCACTAGTATCAAAAAGATCATTGAAGCCATTGTTGCGAATGAACACCTGGAATTATATGATCAAAGTGTGAGCAAGCCTGAAGGGGTGATTGATTTGAAACTTGCTAATCAAGTGGTGAAGATGGAAGATCAAATCACTGCTGAAGTTGAAAGGACACTGAAAGCTATGAACATAGGTACCCGAACTATAACACAAGTT